TTAATTAGTGTAATTGTGGCTTTAGTTACCTTTGCAGGTTTCTGAATATCCCAATATTCAACAAAATCTATTCCATTACTACTGTAGGAGAGCTTGAATGTCTGAATAAAAGAAGATGATACTTCTCCTTCCATCTTTATCGCAGTCACTTTAGCACGTTTTACAAAATCCACCTGATACCAGTCGTCAAAACTTGATATTGATCCTTCACCCCTCCAACCAACTTTTCCGCCGAGTCTACCGTAAATTGCAGGCGCGCCACTTGCTTCGCTTGCGGCAGTTAACTGGCGATCGGATATCTCCCCACTTGCCATGCCGAGTGCTTTTGGGTTCCCGCATCCTGGAAATAAAGTTGATTGGCTATATAAAGACCTATCCTGAATTTATGATGCAGCATATGTAACGAATGTACAGAAAATTGCATGGGATGATAACATAAAGGAAAAACTTAAAAGATTATTTTAAGCGGGAACGTTTTGAAGCGTTTAAAATGTTTTTAACACGTATGACAGCCAATGATGACAGCTGACTTTTTTCTGGTTGTTTTTTTTATCTGCATTTAATTAAAATTCTTATATTAAAATTAGATTTCTTACAGGTATATTATCACTCAGGGGCCGATTGTATAAAAGACTAGTTAACTTTTAACTGTAGTTAGGGACACAATTGGCCAATCAGAGTCGTGTATTGCTGAGTTGACTAGGATTTAACTATGCGAAGTGTAGTTCTTCCTGATTCTGCTTAGCAATATTCACAATTTCACAGTAAAACAAACAGATTTGATCCTTTCATAAAAACATGTCCACATGTGACTATACTATCCTGGCGCATATTCACACGTGCGTGCCTCATATGACTAAAATGTCTATCAATATATTACGCAGTCCTTATTGGCTGATAATTATAAATGTTTAATATATATTAATGTTAATGAATTAGTGTTCACTGCTCGTTCATCGAAACACATATTTGTGGTGATATACAAACATTAAACAATATAACCATGCTTTGGTTATGATGTCAAATATTTTGATGTGGATAACCACGCAGTTTAAATGGTCTAATTCTGATCCTATGCATATATGTAAAGTTTCAGGCATGTTTGGTGCTCATATACAAACATCTATATAAAGTTGCAAATTGCATACATAAAATATGGCCCGAAAACGGTATACTCGACCACGGTCGAATATACGGAAAAATGGCACATTCGACCATGATCGAAAATACCCGAAAATGGTACACTCGACCATTATCGAGTATACAGGAAAACGGCTACTCGAACATGGGCGAATATACCGGAAAACGGCATACACGACCATGGTCGAATATACCGGAAAACGGTATATATACTCGACCATGGGCGAATATACGGAAAAACGCTGCTTTAATGGTCAAATGCTGGTCTTTTGTAAAGTTTCAAGTATGTTTGGTGCTCATATACAAACATCAATATAAAGTTGTAACTTGCAAGCATCGAATATGGCTGGGAAACGGTATACTTGACCATGGTCGAATATGGCCGGAAAACGATGTACCCGACGATGATCGAATATATACGAAAAACCGGGTACGTTCGAGCATGGTCGAATATACCGGGAAATGGTATGAATGTTATGAATGGCGGATTTATTACGACAGATATCGTTGGAAATTAGAATACTAATTTCTTTGAATTGGTTATTAAAATATACTTTGAGGAAGTAAAAGTTACGATAGTATTCAAATGTTACGATATTATCCGTATAACTGGATAATTTTGAAAGAGAGACATGCCAACAAAAACTTCTTACCTTCGTATCGACCATAAAATTCCACTCTAATCGCGCATAAACCATTCCATTCCTTTGGTTGAATGCGAATAAAGCGCCCGAAGATATGGGGGAAAATAAATTGAATGCCCGCAATGAATACCTAAATGGCACAACGTGACAACTTAAGCCGTTATGAAGGCCATGTTACACTTAGCTACGGGGGGGAGAGGGCTAACAGTAACAATCATATATTTAAAATTCGTATTTCACTGGGTAAATTAACTTCATGCAATGGACCTTTTGCATAATAGACCAACTTTTGATTTAGGCAATTAACAAAAAGAAAATTTCCGAAAAGTGCATACTAAGTTTAGTAAAATTGCCAAGTTTGGCTGCAGAATATTGTAAAGTACGGAAAATATAGCCATTGACATTTTGTAGCCAAACCTGGTATTTATACTAATTTCGGTATGCTTATTTTAGCTGTGGTGATTTATTTCCTTCTTGTTGCCTAGATTGTAAGTTGGTCCATCATGCAAAAGGTCCATTTGACGCACGATGTTTTTCAGGTGTGAAAAAATCCCATACAAGGCTTTCGATTGGGCGTACGATATTCCTTACACGTGAAATTATCGTATGTCATTTTGATGGTAATTTGTTTACATTTTGTTCTCAAGATCGCGTCGAAATATAGCAGTGAGATTCAAAACCAAATGCTCAAAGTCAAGACATTATCACATTCAGCACGTTTTAAAATCCTTCGGAAAGAATATCTAACTTCTATTGGCGAACAAAATTACAAAGAGACTGAACGGTAATAAATAAAATGACGCATAAAATTTAGATTTGGTTGCTCGCTGTGTTTTTAGCTCGCCTGCACTTTAGTGCAAGAGAGCTATTGCTATAGTCTTGGCGTCCGCGTCCCCGTCCCCGTCCCCGTCCCCGTCCCCGTCCCCGTCCCCGTCCCCGTCCCCGTCCCCGTCACACTACATGATAAGTAGAATGTTAAGATGCCACTTTTATTTTCCCATTATTTTCAACTTATCTACTTAAGGAGTCTATTTGTTGCAAAAGAACCATTTACCAGGGGGTAGTGAAAATTATACAAAATATAATGATAAGGTCAATGTTAAAATGCTATATTTTTTCTATACTTTGGCTTTACATCAGAGGAATCATTATCAATATAAGTCATCAATATGCATTGTGACTATTTAGTGCCATTTGGTACACATTTATACAATAATAAAGAGAGTTTGTTGGTTTGAAACCCTAACTTTGTTATTGTTATCGTATGTCGTTAATTTCCGTTTTGTTACTTTCTGCGACTACACGCGCAGCTGCACACAGTTTAATGTTTCATTGTATATCACTGTCAACTAGAGTACGGTCACTCTACTCTACAATTGGTTATTTACGTTTATGTTCGAACTCTATCGACGGTATTCAGCAGCAGTTTGGTGTGTGCGCCAACTAAAGTAAGACTCTATCTTTGTGTTATTATAGTTTGTAAACATATGTAGCTACGTTAGTTGATTTATTCGTATTTAGTGCATGCCTGTTATAGTATTTAATTTGCCTAGATTGCATGACTTAGTGCGGTTTAATTCTTGTATTTTTAGTTCGAACGTTACCCACTATATTTCTATTCCGCGATCACTCTATTCAATATTCCGTTACCGGATTGATCAGTTACCATATACCTTCAACCGCACAGTATTATAAACTTTATCAGATACATTTTATAACCATTATCCGCGCACGTGTTATCCTATCATCGTGGTTAGCGAATTTAGTGGAGTTCAATTTGTGGCGTTAACGGCACACCAAAGCAGCGTAGCTCTCAGAAGAATTTGGGAGTTACAGAGTTTTGCTCAAAATTATCAAATGATAAGGTGAATGTTAAGCTAATTAGCATAATGATAAGGTCAATGTTAAGATGTTATATTTTTTAAATATTATGGCTTTGCATCAGAAGATTCATCATAAATATAGCTCATCGATATGTGTTGTGACTATATGATGACAATTAGCACATATTTACACAAAAATAATGGGAATTTTGTTCAAAATTATCAAATGATAAGGTGAATGTTAAGCTAATTAGCATAATGATAAGGTCAATGTTAAGATGCTATATTTTTTAAATATTATGGCTTTACATCAGAGGAATCATCATAAATATAAGTCATCGATATGCATTGTGACTATTCAGTGCCATTTGGTACACATTTATACAATAATAAAGAGAGCTTTGCTCAAAATTATCAAATGATAATGCAAATGTTAAGCTTATTAGCATCATGATAAGTTCAATGTTAGAGTTATCCAGAGCTATCACGCTTATTACGATTTTCAGGGCTATTGTGTAGCCCTGTTTTTTTTTAGTTCAAAGTTGTAGCTGAATCATATTTAACGAAAGTATTTGTACAACCCTAAGCCAAATGAGAAACTTTCAAATATTTTCACCTGTATGCTACCATTTGTTTGCATTGTACATGTACAATTATAAATTATGAGATTGTGTTGTGACATGCCGTATCAAAATTCAATCGCTTATTAAATATTGAAATCATTCAGGGAGTGAATATATATAAAACATAGTCCAACGTTAAGTTTAAAGAATATTGTCAGATAATTCGCAATTACAAGCTTTAGCACATAAGTATTTATAAGTAGAAAGCCGATAGGCTCGGAATGCAAAGGCAAATGGCAACGCATGTGACATATATTTGCATATTATTTATGTAGATACACATGCAAATATATTTTTAAAGCCAGTTAAATTGTTGACAGGACCCTTTGAACTACCTATAAGATTTATGTACATACTTTTTCGTTGTTTGATGCATAATCCTTTTTTGTGTAGATATAAAAATCCAATCTTGTTTATTTCATAAAGCTAGGCGCACACACGAAGATTTTTAATAGTCTGCCGATTCCTGTCTAGATTGTCTAGATGGATGTTTTCATCAAAATGTGGCGACTGGCGATCTATACACGCGCGAGGCGCGAGCGCCGCGAGAAGGAAAACATGTCTGGGCAAGGGCTGCCTATATGTCTAAACCTGAATGGACCAACTACCGTAAAATCGTTGTGTGTGCGCCCGGCTTAAAGCAGGGATTTTGCCTGGTCCGTTAACTTACCTGTTGATATCACGTGCGCGGATTGCGAGAAACGGAAGAAATATTGGTCACAAATAAAACTAATGTAATTCCGAGGCCAGTTTTGGCCAGTAATTCTGAGGTCACAACTAATATCTGAAGTTTGTGCTTAATATTACCTTCCAACGCGGATTTTAGCCTTGTAATTTGTAATGAAAAGATCGGTAATTTGTGCTTCATACAGATACCTTTCATACAGAGTTTAGCCTTATTCTAGACAAACAGTGCAGGCGAGCGTTAGGTGATTTCAGCACCTCTCTGGTTGTATAATGAAATGATAAACCTCTGAGCCTTAAAAGTGTTTCGTAGAAAAATTAATCTCCATGCAAAAATAATAAGCAAATTACTTCATGGTCGTTCCTACGACTTTTATTATGAACTCGTTGTGAAGGATCGCAAACGCACTCGTTTGCTACGCGGTCACTCGTTCGTTTTGCGATCCTCACAACTCATTGATAAAAATCGTACGCATTCCCCAACAAAGAAATAATGTATATATATATTTCGCATTTCAGTATCCAAGTATTTCACAAGGAATTATGAATCTATGAAATTTTTCGAAAGGTCTAGTATTTGTTACCTTTTCTGTTTGTTGTTCGACCTTCTTGTAGACTGAAAAAACCTTGCCGTCATCACTAGACGCAATTGTGTATTTCGTGACACCATCCGCAGTGCCGGACAACCCCTCCACGTCAAGTCTGCTCACAGTCACGTTCGTGATGAAGTCTACTTGAAACCAAGGGTTTTTATCACCGTCCGCTGCTATCCAACCACCATGTCCATTTTTTCTTCCATTGCCGGCACCGGATGTGTAATACATCGAGGACGATACATTCAATTGGGAGTCCAAAATGAGTTTATTGGACATGCCAAGAGGCATTCCACTGAACCAGTCATCTAGAAAACACGCGAACAGGAAGTTACATTTCTACATGTCACATCATGACCTTTTCTATATATACGTGTTATAAAGAAACAACATTCGCCTACCCGTAGAATCACAGCCCTGAACTTCTATTCTTAAAACGGGAAAGGGATAAGGTCCTGAGGGCGGTGCCGCCGAAATTTGTAAGAATCTTGCAAATATAGGATGTGAGAAAGGTCTTTCAACGATGGTAGTGGTACTTCCTGGGCCTGAAAAGGTCTAGAAAATACGGAAAGAAAGCAATGTTCAGGAATGCAGGGAGATATATAACAATTCTCAGACTAAACGAGGGGGTAAAGCATAGCAGCTCATATAACATAGCATGGCATGGCATAATATGCATGGCATGGCATGACACAGCATAGCATACCGTTGCGTGGCATAGCACGAGGTCATCATATAATAATACATCAATTATATATTCCTATTATTAGTTCCAACTTTATTACTATTATTTTCCTCTCCGGCTTTTCCATCTACTGTATCTTCATCTATAACTATTGTACATTATTTTCACCTTTTCACTTCCAGATTCTACGTAACTTTTAAAATTTTCTCCATCATTACTGTATTGAACTGTATACGACGGACTCCACGTCCCATAGGGAGTGGCCCCTTGTACTTTAAGCCCCGTAATAGTTGTATGTCGTAAATAATCTATCTTCAGCAATCCGGTCGAGCCACTTGATGCATGCCATCCTTGAGGATCATCGAGTCTGGCATGTCTAGCTGAATAGCTTGACGACATTTCGTTTGGCGACGTAATTTGGCTGTCCAGAAATGGCAAAGGGCCCGGAGAGGTACAAGCTACGATACACAATCATGAGAATAAATAAAAACCATGCATGGTGATTAGTTAACCTAGTCAGTTTGTCATGATTATATTATCGTCGAGCTAAGAAGGATTGATAGCTACGCAGATTATGAAATGACAGCCGGCATTGAGGTCCCAATTAAGGCTAAGATGCATCATACCGGGTGTGTCAAAAGACCTGCAACTAAATCAAAAAGACCTTTTGCACCTTGTGCGCTATAGATCATATTTTATCTAAGCGAAGAGGATTAACTGAAATTGCAAAGCTTAATTGGCAGTCAAATGTTGTTATCTACGGAAAATATATGTATCCGAAATTAGCAAACTTTGTATATTTGTATTACGGCGGGAAGTATGTAACTAACTTGGTTACACATTGTCGCACGTATACTATAAAAAATATACAAAATTTGCCAACTCAATCATACATACATAGTTTTGGAAATGAACTTTGCAATTATACTAATTTCAGTACGCTCGTTCTAGATGTTGTAATATATTTCCTTCTTTCGCATGCCTAGATCTAAAAAATAATTTGTCTATGCGCATAAAGTCCATTGGTGTAGTGGAGTACGTAACTAATGTGATAAGTATAATATTTTGTTATAATTTCTCAGTGGCGGAAATTCAATTCAGGAAGACCTAAACAGGTCAGAGGCTTTATATTTTGGCGATACATCACCTGGGAATAGTACCCGCCCAAATTTCCCATTATCCACTAAGGGCCTAGTCATACCTAGTTCGCCTGGGAAGGAAACCCCGGGTTTAATAGCAGACCATAAACTCACTTGAATAGCAGCCGAAGAATTCCAGCCTTAAAGCAGGCCTACCCGACCACGTTTTGGGATGGATGCGAAGATAACGGACTGAGATTTCTTCTGGAAGCACCGTTTTGACTTTTGTAGTACGATCAGTATTTGCAGGAAACACCTGTTTGAATAAATAAAATAAAATATCTGATGCAAACGTGCCTTCTAATAGGATATTGATTCCGACTGTATTTAATTACTGTTTCCACGCGCGAAATTAGTGTAGGAATGCTTCACATAATTACATAGCTCATACATGTACAAACATTCCTAACGGATTTTAACAATGCAGCATAAAAAGAAAGTGAAAAAAATGTTTGAGGCATACAATTCTATGAAACTGATCTATTAATTCCATTGAGTTTTAGGGGGAAATAGCAATACCATGAAAGCATAACCTCGGGTTGAAAAATGCAAAATGTCGGTCATAAAACACTAAATATAACACTAGGTTCGCGTTTTTGGGGGTGTGCCCAACCCCAACTTTTATGGAAATTTGTCCGAAAAAATCTGTCGTGAAGCCTGTATGGAGTGCCGAAATAAAGAAAAATTCCCTATTATCCATAACTTATCCGTATACGGCTTTTAACATCAATATTGCACCATTCGTCACTAAATTTTTTTGTTCAGAAAATGAATTCCTTGATATAGTTTATAGCAAAGCTGAAGAATTGAAATTTTAAATTTTGAGAATTTTCATAATCTCTCTCCATCATAATGAAAACGTTTCGCTTCTCCCAAACTAGCGGTTGCGTCCATTCATTTCTGTATGACACTTACATCAGGGCGATTTATGCGCGTTTCTCGTGCGTGTTTTACTGCACCCTGGTTTGCTCGCTCTTGAAATGGTTGAATGCACATTTTAAACAGAGAGATTTAGCGTCGAAACTCGAAATGTTTAGCTAGAAGACGCATACCAACATATGAAACAAAAATGTTTTAAAATGGGAAGCTCACTCGTTCAGCGGCCACACCTTCTAGAAAATCAACCACTTATATAGTGTTCCTACAAATTGATGATTTAATTATGAAAAAGAGAATTTCTAAATATCCGATAGAAAGGGAATATCCGAAATGGGCATGCTAAACGTAACAAAATTGCTAAGTTTAGATGCAAAATATTGTGAAGTACGGAAGATATAGCCTATCGAATGAGGCAATATATATACAAAATGTTATGATTGATTTTTACCCTGATTTCTGCATTATGACTTTGGTTCATAACGTTCTTGAATATTCCGCTTGAATTTGCATACGATATTGTAAATGACATCACCCATTGGTCAGACCTTGGTGAACCTTGTGTCTCTAACTCCACCAGTTGCAATGTTGTCGAAAAGTCAACATAAAACCATGGTTCTGCATCATTTGCGTTTGCCATCCAAGATTTTGGGCCGTCGACTCTTGCCATAAAGGGGAGGTAACCATCGGAGGATGAAGATGCATGCAATTGTGCTGTAGTAATCAATTTAGACACCATTCCAACTGCCTCGACATGATTAGGATCGCAATCTAAAAAATAATATTTCTATTACATGAAGCTTGATTGCACTTGATCTCACCGTCAGATTAGCTGCCGGGGACAGTTTCTTCCAAAACAGGCTCATTGATTTTCCTTTTTACACTTTCTTCACAGACAACAGGGTCTTTCAAACGCTTCTTTGGAATTTTTCTTTTCCAATAAATTTTTAAACTGTTTTCGAATTGCCAGTTAAATTATTGCTGAAGGTATATTTGAAAATACAATTTTTGGTCAGGAGTTTGCTGTTCGATCACCAGTTTTTACTCGAACAAATTATGCGTGTGTGTATCGAACTTCCAAGACATAGAATTTGGACCACTTTGGATTCCGATCATTGAGATGAATAAACCTGGAGTGCCTGCTCCTCTCGAAAACCGTTCGCGAAAGTGTCCGTAAAAAGATGGCGTCAGCAGAGGCTATTTCTCTCATAGTAGCAGCCACTGCCCGCATGTGAGATGGCTCAGTTTCTGCTATTAACCAATCAAAAGCATTAGTTTAGCTGTCAAGATACGATACTTCGTTTTTTTATTTGTCCGTTTCATCGAAGCACAGTCATTTTTTGAAGTCTTTATGTTTCTGAAGCATATTCTTCATATATATATTCTACTTCGAATAAACTCGTAATAAATAGGTATTCTATAATATGCTTTCGAGAATGTTTAAGACGATCAGCGAGATTGCGAATTGCACTAGTTAAATGGTTAAAATTAGCTAATAGTGTTTCAAGTGTGAATATACTGGGAAGTATGTCCTCAAAATATGCAGCCGGGATATCGTAAAATATTTTATTTTATAATATTTGTTGTTAGATGCAGAAGAGCTTCTTTTTATCTACTAAATACCTATAGGTGAAGGTTTCATTAAAGGTCGGCAATTGTTGCTTTGATAGTTATGAGTCTAAGAGATATATAATGTACCTATATTTTCAAGCATTAAAATCATGTTAGGCTTCTTCTTCGCACTCGTATTTACATTGCTCAGAAAAACAATGATTTATGGAAAAGTGAAAGTAGGTTACTTTAGTAAGTGACAACAATCATTAAGGGCTACAATCAGTAGCGTAGCCAGCCAGTCGATTTATCCCGCTATGCTAATATTTTGGTGTTCAATGACATGAATAATTATAATAACTCGAAATGTCCATAGCGGGACAAAAACGTCAGGCTGGTTACGCCACTGGTTACAAACCCGATTTCCGTGTTTAAAAAGCCGAAGAAAGTAAGAAATTTCGCCGCGGGTTTCGCATTTTTGGGAAACAAAACATTTTACGGTTTGATTTTTTCCCCGCGGTACGTTGTTTTTCGTGGTTACTAGTGGATGTCCGCGTGAAAGTTTGACCTCTGCTGACGCCAGTTTTTTTCAACTACTTTTGATGGCATATACTTTATACTTTATTCATCTCAATGATTCCAATATTTTGTGTTACAATACGCAAGCGCAAGTGTACTTCCTATTCTCCAAGCGGAGTTTGTACAGTGCATTCTTCTTAATTCACCACCCCCAAAATTTCGAGGTCCTTTTTACCATAGCCAGTATATAAACAGTTATGCGCAGCGCCGGCCGGATTAATCTCTCCGGCTGAATTAATCATTCGCTAATCCGCCAGTGCCAATGCGAAATAAAAGACTTGCAATGTACTGAATGTAATATATTACATAATCAAAGAATATTTTTGGCGTAACAAATAATCATTCCTCGCGTTGAACGATGCACTTCTAAATTAATTGTATATTGCCTTTTCACATTTTGGTTTGGTCGAATGCAATTCAAACTATAGGTAATGAGATGATAATCAAGCTTAACTAGGTTTATGCCTGCAGCATATACAATTCAGTGATAAGAAGTAATGCTAATTTAAAAAATATCTCACCTGCTGTTCCACTCTTTACGGCAAACGACAAGAAGATAACCTAAAAGTATATATAGGGCAAGTTCTGTCAACTGTCAATTAAAAGAAGACCCTAACCTCTTAAATCCTTTCCACCCGATAATTTCAGCAAATTCAGCTATAGAATAAAAGTTATCCCGAATAAAGAGTGCGTGTTAAAACACATGTATAATAATGCATTCGCGTTAAAATTCGATTTTCATGTCTTGTGTAAACACCCGAATTTCGAGACGCAGCGACGGCCAGCAAGCGCTACCTCCCATTAGGCTCTAGCTATGTAGAATTGTTTACAAACATAACCCCCATGTTTTCAACGTCTTATTTCTCATAAAATTTAAAGGATTGGTAATATGCAACAACTTCTATCATAGCATTGACTTAAAACAGTGCAAGTTTTAGCCGCGTCGTCGTGCATCGTGTTGCCGTCCTGGTCCCTAATATTATTACAAATCACTTCGAGCATATTGTTGCAAAAAGTCCAACTTAATTGAACGTCCAATCACAAGCACTGGGATATTGGGAGTCGCATAATCCCATTGTTTGAGAATGTGAAAGACTACTGAAAATCTATCACTATAAAAGAGAATGGTCATTTATGGATATATATTAATATATATGGATATATTAATATTTTATCATAAAAATTAATACGCTTTAGCGTAGTTTGCAAATTTTGGAGATATCCCGAAATAATTTATCGAATTGAAAAGTAAATCGATTATAAGTTTTGGCACTTCACTCGATGTAGGTAAATTCCAGAGGTTTAAACGGTCCTAATTTCGAGTGGAATTATATACACACTCCACTCCAGCCAATGAATCGCATCGCAAAAGATGACCGGCATCGCAAAAGGCCAGGCTTGAATTTGAAGTGTGTATACTTTCAAACGAATTTAAGATCCTTTTAAACCTCTAGAATTGGAAAGTATATCAATATCTGCATGAATTTTCTTAAAAAAACACATTATAGGTCGTTTTATTACGATAACTTGCATTACTTGATAACTGCATCGATCGTCTGCATGTTTCATTCTGTTTACACGTTGCCTTGGATACAAGGTTTCATGCATAATTCATTACGTTTGTTTAGCCTACAGCAGGTCTCATCGACCGCATCTTTTCACAACAACGGAGTGGAGTGGATGAAATTGATTTCACAAGAAACGAATGGAGTTACTGCAAATGGCTTATAATTGAGGCGGACGCTGTGTCATAATCTATACTATACGTTGAATATTTTTAGATGCATGACCTTTTTTCTATAATAAGAAAATGTTATTCAGGAAATTATAGACATAACTAATGGAAGAAGTTTAATGTCTGACAACGACAACATGTCCGATTACATGTAATACAAGTTAAAAAGGCGTTCTGGCCTGGAGTGGTTCTGCCTTAAAAAAAAAGTCGCGTTCATGCACCCCCTAAACTGGGGTAAATGTCTGAATGTCATATCTTCTATAGATTCTAGCAATTTCGAATCCCACAGCAAAGGGTAGAAAATGGGTTCCGTGTGTAATGCAATGTTCTTGTTGAATTGAATTGTGTTTTGCATGCGTATTGCTACGCAATCGGGAAATAAAACTACGACGAGATTGCTATAAAAGGTCTATTTTAGCTTTCGGTGATGATTTTCTATAATGCAGTGACAATAATATTAAATAGCGATGAAATTACTATTGTAGAATCTAAATGAAAAAAAGAGTCTGTCCAGCTAATGATCTGAGTATACAACTACAAATTCATTTCTCATCACCGCAGATTGCGATTACCTCAATTCTTCTTTCGAGGATAAATCTTAGGACATAAATATAATTACAAGATGCTTACCAGAACGGTCAACAATATAGACATCTTCTTTTTACTGCCGTTTGCAATCATCTTTAAAGAGCTACGGAGGGAACATACTCATTCAAAAAAAATTCCGAATTGAATGACGATTCAATACCTGGCCACAAAGCAATTAGCAACCAAACTCAACAAAGCCGATGATTGGTCCGTACGTCGTGGTGCGGGGAAGTCACCTGGCTGTTTATAAAATCACCGATGCATAACATCTATATAAATAGAAGTGTAACTGGTTTGAATCGAGTTACTAATTCTCTAATAAAATGAGATATAACTGAAGAGTCATTCTCCGGAAAGCTTTGCTAAATAAATGTCTATGGGGTGCATGCAGATTGGCGCGTATTGAAATTCACGTGATTTTCATGATGCATGAACTGAGAAGGCGCCCTGCTTTGAGAAAGTTAATTAACTGCGCGTATTGAAACCACAAGAAAATATTTGTATACATTAATCTTTAAAGCAATAAACCGTTGTTATTGCGTCTTATACTTTGAATCCCCTTCAAAATCGCGAAGTAGGCATTATGAAATACATTAGAAATTATGATATACCGTGTGTCCCCAGAAGAGTGGCAGAGTGCTCTTTTTTGAAATCATTATTTTTTTTAAGAGTACTTTTTGGGGGGACACACATACCGTCCATATATGCATTTCAAGTGGTGGAAGTGGAGTGGCATTACCCATGCAAAATTTATGTTTGACTGTCCCTTAATCCGCCACTGTATATGGCTTTATTTCAAAGTTCATTTTTTTGAAAGCGAAATAAACGTTAAATCTCGTTCAACTAACACCAAAGATGGCCAGACAACGTGCAAAACATGTATTTTGTCCCCAATTAAGAAATAGAGTTCGCCTCAGTGAATATAGGCTTGTAATCAACACGCCCGAGGCGACTAATTCTTTTAGTATAAATTTCCAGGTGTTTACAAATAAGAATCAAAACAATTTCGTAAAAAAATCCTATAAAAAACGACTTCAAATTTCTTATTTGATAAACAACAACAAAAAGCTATAGTTACCGACTATATATACCAAACAGAATGTAGGAAAATCAATAGTAATCTCGAAATTTTTGGGCGTTTAATAAACAAAACATTGACATATATTTTCCAAAAATTCTTTGCTCTGCGTGCCTCAATGCATGCCTACCACAAAGTAAAAAATATAGAATAAACGTAATTTTCGGCTAAACTTTCTTTCCTTAATTAAAATCATATGCCACTTTTTAGTTCAAGAATTAATGAAAGTTCAGCCTTTACCCTGATTGAAAAGATCTTTCGCACTGCGTGCAACGGGACTTATTCCCTATAGAGACGATAAATCGCTTACGTAGTTACGTTGAGTTGGCAAAAAGTTAGTTCGTCCGGTCACTCCCGATGTATCCCTATATAAACGTCAGCAAAAGTCTTTTCTTTACTTCCAGAGACTTAGGGCGTGTATAACATTATATATACATATAAAAAAATAAATTAATATCAGTCTGCCTGCATGGCATGCATTTCTTATGCACCTCCCGCTGCCTGCATGGACCAATTACGCCAAGGTCGGTTTCCGACGTAAACATTTTCATGGGCCGAATTAAATACAAATAGAACAAAAAAAGGCTTATTAATCTTATTCAACATCAGGCTCGGCATGAAAATGGATAAATGCCAAAATTATTTGAATATATATCCATATTGGATGCATCGCCGAAGTATTTTGTTTTAAACTAATGTCGCTCTGTTTACCAGCCGGCACAAATTGTTGCCTGGTAAAAATTCAAACGAAGTCAGTCTGTCGATAAAAAAATTATGCAGCTACTTATTCGATATAAACGTTTAATTGAATGATTATTAATAATTTTAGTACCATCCTTTGCAACGAATTGCATTTGCTATAGAATTTAGGTTTCCTAGGATTATGATTGCGGCACAGATCTATACGCCGCTCAGATTATGGTTTAATTAATATTATATTGCACCAAGCTATGCATGCATGGTTTAAGCTATTTGCGGTCTGAATTACAAAGACTAGTCTTTTGTATATGCATCCTGTTTATTTGGTTTCTTATACTGTATTTCCCCCTATACAAAATCATGTAGTAATTAGGGATGTAAGATCCTTAGCCGATCCTTAGGCTTTGCGCTATTATCAAATAATAATGGTCTGGTTCCGGCATTTTCGAGTGGCCAAAAACGCAGAGATAACAATTTCTTCCGATATTTAGATATAGTCGGCATACAATCGCGTCTTTTGAGCAAAGGGAAAGTTTGCTGCGCGCGAGTGTTACATTCATGAAGTTAGTATATATGGGAGCTTTACCGAACGATGCCGTTGTTAACGCACGAAAATTTGGTGATTTTAAACTAAATATGCGGATGAGAAATTATCGAGTGTATATAAATTATACATATAGTTATGGCGACCACGCGGCACTCGTTTTTAGCATGTCAACTGACTCAATTGAGTTTGTCTAAATGCGCCTTCTCCCAATCGTGCATGCATGCATGCACTACACTGTGGCTCGGGTCACACGAGACTGGACGAATTTGGGACGGTACTCGAATTCGTCTCGTTTTCTCGTGTGAACACAAAGAACAGGTTAAATTTTCATACATTTTTACCGTGTAAACACCTGAACGGCTGAACCGGACGAATTCGAGCGCTTTCAAATTCGCCCGGTCACGTGTCAACGTAGCCTATAGTGAAGGTAGTCCTACGCCCCTATAGGGAAGCGGATTAATTCGATTGTTTTAATTTTCCACCTCGAAGCCCCATGTCTGGGATGCACGCGTTATAAATGAAGCAACTCTACTATATCTTCTATATACAAATTGATGTCGAGAAAATGATGGTAGTGATTATACTTTTTTTCGCCAACATAATACGTCGTGACATGGTGCACGATTTCGCGCATCAGTTAGCTGTGATAAAAAGCCATACTTGAATGAAAGAACCTTTATATAGTTGCATAATTATGACTAATTTGAATACAAAGAGTATAGCCCATGTTATATGGCATGCACGGACTGCTCATTTCGGCAGAACAAGTGAACAACTTCAACAGAGAAGGTGAACAAACTCTTTGAAAGTAAAGAACGAGAGATAAAGACTAAAGTTAAAAGGTAATGTTACAGCACTAGTTTTTACGTTTTGTTGGACTGATTTATGTATATCTGCGTAGTTGGGGTTGCTGACTTATGCAGTACAGTCATATGCCCTTTGGCTTTAATAAATGATACACAAAACTCGCTTGTGCATGCATGATATGAATTAAGAAGCTTTTATGTATTAAATATATTTATATATATAGTTTATTTTTCACATCGCTTGTGCTAAAACAGTTCTTCAATTTATATCCATCGTTCCGACAATAATAATATAATAGTTACGTTTATGTTTCAGCAACCGTATAGGTTATTTAAAACTTATCGCATGCATGATATACTCAACCAGGTATACCATTCAAAAAAAGCAGCATTTCCTCTATTTTTTTTGTCTCGGTTTCCTTTCTATTTACATGTATATTTAAAAAAACTTCCCTCGCTTGCACCTAGGTATCTCCGTAAACCATTTGAAACTACCATGCAAACACAGTCAATTTAAGACCCATGCATGAAACACAAAACAACTACATGACATACAAATTACAAAAAATACCTACCTCCTCCGCAGGCGCTATAGTGATCCGCAGGCGTTAGGGAGCAATTCGAGCTACATCCTACATTACAATAGAAACATTGTAACCATATGAGTAATCTCAATGAGTATGACTTGACTGAGTGCTCAAACATTCTTACAGGCTTACCTCATTTTTATGGGTGCAAATTCGTGCAAATTTTCAAGCGATATAATATATTATGTTGGTGAAAAAAAGTATCAGTACGATCATTTTCTCGACATCAATTTGTTTAGAAGATACCGTAGAGTTGTTTTGACGGGGCTTCGAGGTGGAAAATTAAGCAATCGAATTGTTAATTTTAGCATATATAGAGCTAGTTTCTCTATTATAAGGCGAAATAGGATATAGCTCACTCCCAATAAAAGAATAAAACTTTTCGCAACACTGAATAATAACTTAATTACATGCATGCAAACCAGTTTTGTAAAAGCAATTATTCGTTTCAAGTATCAGCGCTCTATTTCAACTGTGCTCGATTCATTGGCGTCGCTAGCATAAGTGGGGGAAACTTATTCATATATTCGAGTTTTACATTATTCATTTCCATTCAAATTGATTGTTTTAACGGTCTGTGAAAATAAATATGTAAATATGTCCACCCCACTTATCGATGCTAGCGACGCCACTAGCTCGATTCCTTTCTCTTTGTTAAAGCGGTTGTTTCATGGTAATAATAAACGATTGTGTTGGGTGTGGAATTTGGCCCGAAGATTTTTACCAGGGCGTTTATATGATATATAAGCGCCCTGATTTTTACACGATTCTCGGGTACTTGTATACATGCAATACTTCATTGATTAGCTATGCAAAATGAACAATTAAATCAAGTATTTATCACAGCATAATTTGATAAATAGCATGGTGAAATATCATTGTCCAATGAGGGTCAGTGTTTGGATTCGTTTTAATGCTACTCTAGTTGAATAGTTCTACTATCAAAAATTTTATGTAATAATTTCAAAAATCAACCCTAGGAATCACATGTGTTGGCTTTATAAGTTGTAAAAGTACCATGAATACTAATTAGGATGACACATTGTATAATTTATCATCTTCATTAGTATTCTTTATACAGGATGAGTAAAAAAAAAACTGACACCTTTGAAATCCAATTTGCTGCAATGTGTCTGTAATAGGCTGTAATGAGACAGAGGTTGCCTAAAATATCTTATGGGTATACGAAGCATATCAAATAAGTGAACCCATTAAGTAGAACATAAAGTTTGTTCCCTTTGGGAGTTAAAATGCATTCTAAGCTCTGTAATAAAAAAGAACGTGGAATTAGTTCAATTGGTTTAAACACTTTCACATTAATTAACCACGTCTTGTTGATTGTACACAATGGGAATTGTCAAATCCCAGCCATAAGTTCACGGCTAATTTGAATTTCAAAGGTGTCAGTTTTTTTTTTACTCACCCTGTATAATGTTTCATCCTAATTAACATTTGTATACTTGGAGCAAATTTATTGCTCGACAACAATGCGGTGTATTTGAAGTAATTTAAAACACTCGAACTCGCGCTTTATCATATCTAAAACGCTCCTTCTCGTGTTTTAAATATTACATAATAAGATGTTTTAGCAGGTCACATAATTGAAGATAGCTATCACGTTTAACTTTTATGAAAAATTTTCCTTAAACAAAAGGTATCGAATTTGATGTACTACTCTATATAAATGTTCAAAATGTTCTTCGGCAGTATGCTCAGTAAACCCTGAGCGCCAACCAAAGCCTCCACCAAATTACCGCTAAAGTGGTACGAAGTACAAATAAAATAGCGATCGAGTAGGCCAAAATGCATAAAGTAATTTGTTTATTTAATGTGCATAGACTATATCCCAGGTTGAGTATAGTCTATAACGACGCGCTTTTAATATTATACAAAAACGCAGCGAGCAACTAAATTCTAAAATCGAAAATTTATGTGTCAAAACATATTTATCAGTTACCGTCCAGCTTCTTCGTAGTTTTGTTCAATAGAAGTTAGGTAAGCTTTCCGAAAGCCTTTATTATGTGTCGAATGTAAAAGTGTCTTGCAATTTGAGAATTACGTTTTTAATCTCACTCCCATATTTCGACGCCATCTTAAAACAAAAATGTAAAAAAATTGCCACCAAAATGCCATTCCACAATTATTCACGTTTGGAAATCGTATGTCGAATCAGAAGCGATATATGGTACTTTTTTACACGTGAAAAAAATCACACGTCCAATCAAATTGCACAAAGTAAATTCACTCAGAGAAGAAAGATAAATATTTTATTATTCTACGTGCATAAATCTGTACAAAAAATTAAACAACTATATACTTAATATTAATAGCATTATACAAATTGCCATGATCTAAAAGAGCCATGACCTAAAAGACGGAATTTCCTCACAGAAAGTTTTAACGAATTTCATCATCATCAGCCAATCACTTTTTAGCACGTGCCTTAAGCTAGCCAATCGCATTTCGTCAATCCTTTATAACATGTACGCGTGATATCTGCAAAATTTCTACTTTTGGGGAAACTATTTGCCTGTCTAACTGCGATTTTTTTTCGATTTTATTATTATGATTTTCTACAGATGACTTTCTACGATGATTTTCTACAGATCTATTTTAAAGATGACCGCCTGGGCGAAGAATTAATACTCGTACCTCGTTAGATTTTCTACAATCGTGTTAATAAGAAGCCCGTTAGGATTTCTAATTAAATTTTAAAACGCACAGCCAAAATGTTTAACTTCCCTTAATATATGTACCGCGTTTCGTAATATCCAATTACGGACGAAACGTTTTCAAATAAAATGGCTACTAAAGGAATTTATTTATCTTCAGGTGAATTGCATCGAAATTGATCGATTTTTTCTAGGATGCAGCAATTCCCTAAAATATTGAAGATGAATTTTGTACTCCTCGTGCTTGCTACATTTGCTGTTTATGCCCGCAGTTGTAAACTTGTAGAGCAAACCGAAGACAGGTGCAGAAGCGATAGTCGTATATGGCTTGGGCATGGAATCGATGCAAATGCATACCATGGATTTAGTACTCATAAAATATCCCCTGCGATGAGACAATTATACTGGTATTGTCGCGGGTCAACAGAAAGAGTGGCCTGGAGAGGAGCGGCAAACACCCTGCACGTGACCTTCAGATATGATGGTCGGATAATATGGCAGTTCAAAAACTGCCCTCCAAACGGCTGCAACACTTATAAACCTCCACAGTCAACCAGTGACATGTGTCGTAACGGTTGGCACATCTGGCTCGCAAGTGGCATAGAAAAAAGCGTTGTCAAAGGTAGAAGTGATGACTCGATAGAAATTTCGCGAGGTATGCAGGAGTTGCAGTGGCACTGCGGGTATGGCAAGGCAGAGCGAGTTGCATGGGATGGTGATGCTAATCGCTTGCGTGTTCAATGGTCGCATAACATGGGAGTTCTTCACATGCAATCCTCCTCGCGAATGTTATAACAACAACCAACTGAACATAAAACTCGAAAAGTTGACCTTAAAGACTGATCCGACCGACGGCGTTGCGTTTGGCTGGAAATTCCTTTTCGGCAGCCCCGCGGATGAAATCGCTGTGAACATGGAGTCGAAATATTGTTACAGAAGAAGCCAGACAAGGGAATAAAAAAATTTCAAACCGAGTACTACCGTTATCCAGTCGTCTCGCTGCATTACATAGGCCAACCTGTCAAGTTCTGGCTGACGGAAGTAGACAGCGGTTTTGAAGGTAAAAACGACCAATCCGAAATTATTACCATTCCAACCGCAAAATTTGATGCAATCCAGAAATACTTAAATAAAAACCCTGGCTCGCGGTTCGAGTTAGACTACTCTGTAAAGGTTAAAGGGCAAAACGTGTTTCAGGAGAACAAGGTGTTAGGATTACTTGCAGGGAGTCTGTGCATCAACGCTCTGGACTTTGTGCTTGGACCGTGGACCGGCAGTCTAGTTTCAACGAAAATGGCGCGGCTGTATCGAGATGTTATTAAAGCAACTCGGCTTCCTGGTACGCTGAAACAGAAAAAAGTGAAGATTTTCAAGTCGGTCATGAAGTATCAAATCCGCGAAGGTTTCAAGAAATCGATTAGCTTGGATTCGGGAGAGGTTATAAAGGATGTTGCCTTGGGAAGTACCCAATTGGATGATGAATTAAAGCAGGTCATAAGAAGTCGTGCGGGTTCAACGGCGACCAGTATATTCGATAAAGTCGTCGAGATCAGTTCCACGCTCGAAGAGCTGACCGGAAAGTTTGAATTTTGTTTGAGTGATATCTTACAAGGTGGTAATAGTAATGCTCTGTACGACGTATATTTCACTGTAGGTAAATAATAAGCCGCCTTGGTAACATATTTAACTGTTACATTTATTTCACTTCCTTTATGCATGTTTAGCCAACCGTGGACGGAATTTTAGAAAAATTTGTATTGTCAGTTATAAAATAGAT